ATGTTGCATGTTCTTTCTCTATTTGGTTCTCCATCTTTCCATCCCAAAACCTTCCAAATCCCGATCAAAAGCCCTCTACAACGCGTAGACCCTTTTTAGAGATTCCCCCTTGTGTCGTTGAAAAGAGAAAAAGGGTTGAAATAGGAACCCCAAACAGGAAACCCAAGAATACAGTAGGAAGAAAATAGAATATAGGGATCCTGGTAGGTATATTCTTCTTACATTCCTACTATATTCTTGGGGTTCCCTGTTCGGGGTTCCCGGTAAACTCCCTTTAAAAGAGCAAGCAATCCGTCGGGGCAACCCTAAGCCCTGAACCCTCAACCCCAAACCCCAAACCCTAAACCGCAAAAAAAAGAGCCAATGTCTGGCTATCGAGGTGCCTCCTCGTGGACTGGGACACGTCGCGCGTCCTGTGCTGCTTGGAGGACTTCCCAGTTTGGGGTTTGGGGTTTAGGGTTTAAGGTTCAGCACTTCAGGGAGCTGAAGCGGCTTAAGCCCTTTGGGTCCCATGGATCCTACTGAAGCCGAAATCTGCCCAAATTCAGAAAGGTTTTCAATCTTGATATGAAGTCCTTAAAGTCCTCTCTACTATCTTTGACATGGCTCGATGTAGAAAGTCTGAGCAACTGCCAGCATGGCGCCCGAAAAATCCTTACGCGGAGAAGTCGTATAATGTACCCCAAAATCGTATTCTAGTTGTTTAGGCTCCTGCATTACATCCTTCTCCGCTCTGTGTCCAATCCCGAAATCACACACGCAAACGCAACTGCAACCTGTCAAAGCATCCCATTTTTGTATGTATATATATATATATACATATACACACATCCATTTATGGCTGCCGCTTTAGAAAGATTGTTTCCCTAGTGTGCGGCAGGCGGGGGACATTGTATAGGGGCTGCTGCAGGGATTCGTTCCTCCATTTCTTACCAAGCCTTCCCAACGCAAAGCAGGGGATCGATGCAGTCCCTATGAAATTGCTTCCCTAAACCCTAAACCCCTTAACCCTAAACCCTTACTAAGCGCCCATGAGGTGTCCTTCAGCCAGAACTCACTCCAGAGTTGCCTTGCCTCGCAAATCCACAACCAAATCTCTGACATTCCAAGGTTGTAATTCCAAAGCCTGAATGGTTACCACAGCTTGCCCTCGGCTGCCCTACGTAGAATAACGTATCTCGAAACCTTGTTTTTCGATTTTCTGAGGCCTCCAACAGTAGGGAAACAGTGTCAGTAATAATAGTAATAATAGTAATTAATAATAATGGTTAACCAGGACGCCACGCTGTACCTTTGGGGTCCTTCTGGCGCTGATTCGGCCTTGCACCTGTTACGAGTTTTACAGGCAGGGAGTGCAGTCTCAGGGGGTGTTGCTGGGTTCCGCTAGTTTAGGGTTTAGGGTTATGTAGCCTAACTGGTGCTCAAGGGGCTAGGGGAGGGCATGTAGGGGTTATGGGTGTAGTTTCCAGTGGAACTGTTGTAGTATGTAGCTTGGAGGAGGGTTCGTGGAATGTTGACTCTTCAGGTTAGATATTTCCGCTACAAGGGGCTGGAAGTCATGGTAGAAGCCAGCTACTAGTGTGGACCAGTGGACCCAGACAAGCGCATTCTGAGCGACCGCTTTGCTGCTTGAGGCTTGTTGTTCGCAATTACTGTGCAAGCCTACTTTAGTTGACACGGCATAATTTAGAAGCCGAGTATTTACCATGTTTCCCCTTCTAATACTTTTGTAATGATAGCATAGCCTACCCCTATCCCAATTGTTGAGGTCCTGCAGTACTGTATTTCACTTTCGTAAGACCACTCCGGAATGAGAATGTATTTCAGACAGTGACGACACTGTCTCAACTGGCTTCTCTGGGATTGGTCCTTGTTGTGGATTTACAGTCAAGGCGTAGCCTCCTAGCTTTCATAGGTTCCTTCTGTGGTGTCTGCTTGCCAGATCAGGTTCTTGTTCATGGTATTTGATCGTGCCTTCGGCTTGCTGTCGAAGCCGACGTAATCCAAAGTACTTCCACCTCGTTTCCACTATGCAGTTGTAGAACAAAACCCTAAACCCCATTCACGTCGTGTAGGCCCCTACAGTACTTACTTGGCCTTGCAGGGCTGGCCTCTGAATCAGGTCGTAAACTCAGTGATGCGAGGCACCAGCCGTGCAGCAGCATGGCTACGGAATCCTAAGGGCCAGAACCGTGCGCCAGAACCGTATAGGTTTCAGGGTTTAGGATTCAGGGTTTAAGGTTTAAGGACCCTTTTCAGTTTTCCCCAGACAATAATTAAACTCTAAACCATCATCTCTGGTACAGCCTTCCAACTCTAAACCGAATCACCCAAACCTAGAGAGCTTGCATGTGCAAGTGTTAGATTCAAGATCAGCATTCTACCTGAAGCTCTGATTCCAACAGACCCTAAACCTGACGCCCTAAAACTTGAGCCCTAGACCCCAAGCCTTGACCCCTAGACCTGAAGCCCCCAAGCCCTAAATCCCAAACTTTCTGAATCTTTGCAGGACACGTCGCATCCCACCGAAGCTGCAATTCGGTCAAAGGATGCAGTGGCCGTGGAGTGGCGCAAAGGCTGCTGACGGGCTTAGGGTTAGTTTTCAGGGTTGTTCGAAGCGACGGGACTTGGAAGTAGGTTAATGAGAGGGGACTACTGGAGCTACTTTATGCCTTGCAGGGGTTATAAGTGAACTAGGGTTGGTGCGGAGTCTCCATTTTCAAGCTTCTGGGGCTCGAAAACTTCAAAACGGTGCCTTTTCCGCAGGTTTCCTTTGTGGTTGGACATGTTTGGACAGTGCCACCAACACTGTGATTCCCAAGAGGAGTTGGTAGGGGAGTCTCCATTTTCAAGCTTTTTGGGGTTCGAAAACTCCAAAACGGTGCCTTTCCGCAGGTTTCCTTTGTGGTTGGAGTTTGGTGGGGGAGTCTCCATTTTCAAGTTTTTGTGGATCGAAAACTCCAAAACCGTGACTCACGAAGTGACCCCGGTCATCCAAGGGGTAAGGACCCCTGATCCTATCTCCAAAACATCACTGAATGTAACCCTTCTGGAACTCCATATTCCCCGTACTCCTAGGTACTACCTCACATAAGCTAAGATGGGGGGGTTCCTATTGCGCGTCCTTCCTAAAGGTCAAGTTGTGTTGCGAGTGTTGACACGGTACCTATCGTGATGGCTATGGTTCTTATGCTGATGGTTGTTTGTTTAAGGTTTCAGCTATGTCAGGAGAGATACGGTCAACGTAGATCTAAAAAAGCAGGCGTCAAGAAACATGGATACCGGCGTCCAGAATGATCGCAGCAAAAGGGTTCTTGCATTCAGCAACATTGTCAACTTGCAAGAACTGTTGGCTACTCTTCCTCAGTTGTTACCAGGACTATGATAGCTATCCGCATTCAAGCCTCGGACCAAAACTGTGGTGAGGCAAAAGTAGCAGGGGCATCAGCATCAGCAACGGCATCAAGTCCAAATACAGCACGCGCGTGCTCGAGCTTGTTTGGGCGGGGGTTTGTGGTTTTGGTGGGTCGATGGGGGCGTGGGTCATTCTCGGGTTTTGTGGCGGCGATCATTGCAGGGCCCCATTCCTTCCTTCGATGCCGACCGAGGGCCAGCCAAACCTCTTTCTTGACTTCTCGCCGACTGTGTCCTTACAACTGTCGTACCATAACTAAGCTCACTCCACCGTAAGCATCAATCAGGAAGTTGGCAATGAGAACCATCATAGTATTGTCATATGGGTGGTTGTCAAA